CGTATTGACTGTGGAAATTCTGTGTATTATAAAGTTGTATCGGAAAATAATAAACTAGTTTTAGTTAAGAAAGGACTTGTATCGCTGAAGTTTCTCGGAAAGAATTTATGCGGGAAATTAACAAAAGAACAGAGACGTAACAGTATAAATACATGTTTATGATCTTTCGACATTCGGCTAACAAGAATGTCAGAATACTGGCAGAGCATTTAGAAAATAATTTCTAGAAAGATATGTCTAACTCAAAATATATTCTATACTAGTTACTCAATTCCTCAGAGGCTCAGTTGTAAGTCTGTTGGCTTAGGACTCTAAAAAATTGGTATTTCGATACTCGTAGAGGGCAGAGCATAGATAGCTAATTGTGTAGCTTTGTGCTTAACAACGACAACAAAACTATTCTAGTTATAGTAGGGTGAAAATCGTGACTAATTTAAATTTATCTGTAGGGTGAGCCTGCACAATGACCCCTCCCATGTGAATTCAAAAGCTATTTTACAATTTAACAATATAGTAAGCATTATAGTTTAAAATTATACTATATTTAATAACTATAATTTATTTAAAAAATCATAAAAATCCTCAATATTAAGTTTAAAATTTTAGATGAGGTATAATGAAAACTGAAAAATATCAAAAGCTAGATCCAATAATAATATACAAAACTAAATGCAGGATATAAGCCCCTAGTGGCACAGCGGTAAGTCTGCGGACTTACAATGCTAGAAACCGGGTTTCAATACCCGTGGTGGGCAGAGCACAGATAGCCCTTGTGTAGCTTTGTGCATAATTAAAAACAAACAAACAGACAAACAAAGCAGGATACAAGGATATATAACAGGATATAAGAACGGCATGGTCAGGTGGTTAGGGCGCTCGACTCGCAATCGGCGGGGCGCGGGTTCGAATCCCCGTTCCACCAAACATGCTCGCCCTTTCAGCTCTGGGGGCGTTATTATGTGACGGTCAGTCCCACTATTCGTTGGTAAAAGAGTAGTCTAAGAGTTGGCGGTGGGTGGTGATGACTAGCTGCCATTCCTCTAGTCTTACACTACTAAATTAGGGACGGCTAGCGCAGATAGCCCTCGTGTAGCTTTGCGCGAAAATAAAAAACAAAACAATCAGACCGTTTTTATCAGAACACTTTTCAATTTTGTTTATTTATCACCAACGTTAAATAAATATTTTTTGTATTTGATTTTAAAATACATAATAATATGCAAAATCAAGATAATTTAAATGAAGAAAATCATATGTATATTTTACAAAAGAGAAGTCTATGACATTAACAGTGAAATACATTGAAAGTCAACCCTTTAATACAGAATTACGTTAAATATCCATCAACACAAAAAAGCAATACGCAAGTACACACTTAATATACACAACAATACTTTTATCATTGATTTAGTACGTACATAAAAAACTTTAACGATAAATACCTACCCTCTTTAGAAGGTGGTAGTCTAACAGACCACACAAACACACAATGGAATAACATAAAAAGGATAAGACAAATTAAAACCATTCAACAAAAATAATCTACTCCTTCTATAAGGGGTAGTCCAATATATTTTGCATAAGTACATTAAAAACGAATTAGTGATTAAACAATGCACAACATAAATAT